GCAGTTTCATACACTAAATATACTTAAAAGGCGGCGGTTAATACTGCTGGCGCTGCTGATCGGATCCGTCGGGCGGGCAAAATTTTTCTTTCCGGCAAACTTTTGAGTACAGATCCGGATTCCTGCATCCGCAGGAATGACGGTAATGACGTAAGTGTATTACCAAGCGGTTGTTTGGCTGGTTTATCGACGGATGCATTGCTTTGTCCAAAGACTAGAAATCCTTGTCAAGCCACTGCAGCGCCCACCATGTATGGTTACCAAAATAATAATTCAGCAGCTGGGGCATTACAGTTAAACCGTTTTCACTATTGGTAAAATAGACCAGGCTTTTGTGTGTAGCGGGAAAAGCCATAAAGAAACATTTGAAGTCGCCGTTATCGCCCCAATGCCAGATAGCAGTACCGGCCTCATTCCGCTGAATGCCCAGGCCCAGGGCCCAGGATATATGGTTACCTGCTTCGCTCAGGATGCTGTCTTTCTTACTTACGGGCACCCTGTCATTCAGCATCAGCTGGTGGGTGGTCTTGCTGAGTCCCCGGCCATGTATTACGGCCTGTAAAAAACGATTGTAGTCCTCCGCAGTAGTAAGCAGTGAATAAGCAGCACCGGGCAGAAATGCTTCCGGCCGGCCGGTAAGTTCACCATTTTTATTGTGGCCGTAAGCGCCATCTTCTGTGTATGACGGCCGCCACAGAAAACTGCTGGAGTTCATTTGAAAGGGTATAAAGACTTCGTCTGCAGCAATCTTCTCCAGTGATTTTTTCAGGATTTTTTCTACTGCAAACTGCAGGAACATAAATCCTTCGCCGGAATAAGACCAGCTGCTGCCGGGTGTAAACCCTGTACTGAGTGCGGAACCGGCCCATTGTTTTGAGATAGGGTTGGTGGCCCAGTTGGGAAAGCCGGAGGTATGCTGCAATACCATGCGGGCGGTTATTTTTTTTGCCGCTTCGTCTTTTTTGATGCGTTCATAGGGATAGTAACGGTACAGCGGGGTATCCAGTGCAATCAGTTCTTTATCCAGCAGGCGCAGGGTAATATAGGCCATTACTGCTTTACTTAAAGACGCGGCCTGGAAAACAGTAGTGCCGGTTATTTTCCCGGGTTCATCCGCATTGGGTTTCCCGTAGTAATGCGGCTGTTGCAGTCCGTTATCAACATAGATGATTTGTGCACCCGTTATTCGGGCATTGCTGAAAATGGTATCAATACCCTGTTGGCATAAGGTGAACAGCGGCATCAGTACAATGAAGGGCAGCAGGATTTGTTTCATGAAATTATTTTACGGCACTGCAGCGCCAGGTAAAGGGTACCAATGAATAATACTTAAACGGCAGTATGTCAGTCTGCTGTTATTTGATCAGTTTCAGTTGCTGGTTATCTGCAAAACGGAACTTTTCTACTTTTTTTGATTTGCTTTCACCATTGTCTTCTACCGTAGTAATCACCAGGGTAGTATCGGTAATACGGCTGCTGGTAGCAGAAAAATATTCCACAAAATCCTGGTAGAAAACCAGCTTGCTGCTGCTGATTTTCCGTGCACTGTCAAGCGCCGCCAGCCAGGCCCATTGTTCATTTTCGGTTTCCCTGGAGAGGATAAGCCATGGGTGGTTGCCACTGAGTACGGTGTCGATGATTTTCAGCTTCATTTCCGGATCATACTTCAATTGCCCGCCCGTCTGCAATTTCTCAGCCCCCAGGGCAGTAAACTGTTCTTTGGTAAGTATACTGGCCCGTTTGGTCTGCCGGTCAAAATATTTTTCATCTATCACGATGTTTTTGAGCAGCAGGGCGGCAGGTGCTAAGCGCACGGTATCTTTTCCAGGGATGATGGTGGAGTCATTTGCTATGGTATCCGCCCGCCTGCCTGTTTGCTTGCTTTGGTTGCTATTACAGCATACCAAAAGCATGGCTGCAATGGGCGGTATTATTCCTTTACTGATAATGCTTGCGTGGTTCATATGCTGTTGATTGAAACCAGGGATACCCCTATGAAAGAATGCAACGGTAAAGCCGCTGCAATAAAGATATAACTTAATAGCAGAACTAACCGGCAGGGGCCGCCGTCAACAGTATCCAGATTATGTATGTGTAACAGGATGGCCGGAATATTTAACCCGTATGCCGTATTATTTTTTATGCCGGCGAGTGTAATAAAGGCCGCCCAAAATAGATACAGGCGCAAAAACAAGGATGGCCAATAACTGCGTCCAGTGGTTGCCGCTGGTTTTCATCAATGAAAATGCGGCAAATCCAGCTACAATAAAACCCAGTATATAATTTAACTGCAGGTTTTTTGCCCGGGCAATCCATTGGACTGCGAGCCCGGCAATAAAGGAAAAAAGTGCCCCGTAAATGACAGTTACAATAGCAAAGCTGCTTCCGGGGTCGGCATGTGGCGCCTGCCCTGAAAGTTTAAACAATGCCAGCGAGCTGATGACAAAGATGGCGTAGCCGGCACTAATACTGAGGATTTTTATTATCATATAAAAGATATTTGTATTCCCGGTGGGTTACTTCCGGTGTCTACTCAATTATGGCGCAGCATATCTGCGGTTCGTAGTCAATAGTATTGTTGCTAAGATAACAATATAATTTATTCGCAAATGGTATGCAGCACCTGAATTTGTATAGCGTAGCAGGCATCGGGTATAGATCAAGGCATTGCCAAAAATTTCCTGGCGGAAACAATTTCAGGCCTGTCCGTATCTGTTGCTTCAGTGATGGCCAGTAATTGCCCGTAATACAAAGCGGCTTTTTTTCGGTTGCCCAGTTTGTCTGCAGCGCTGCCTGCACCCCAAACGGCATTAAAACGGCCGGGGCTTTTTTGCAGCACTGCTTCGTAAGCAACTAATGCATTTTGGTATTGCCCCATGTCGAACAGCATATCTGCCAGCAGTTCCCTGGCAGGTAATACTTCCCCGGGTGTTACCGGATGTTTTTCAGTGGCATCTTCCATTGCCGCAGCAATGGTCATTTCGGTTAAGCCTGCTTGTTTTTGTCCTGACATGTAGTGTATCCATGCCCCGCCGGTTTTGATTTGGATAGCCACCTGTGTTGCTTTGTAGGCATCTTTCTGCTGTTCAAGCGTGTCGTGCAGTTGCTGCAGCGCATTTAATTCGGCCATTGCAAGGTCTTTATTTCCTGCATGAGCTGCGCCCATCAGCCGGGTAAAATGTATAATGGCTGACTGCCATGGAAATTTTGCCCAGGGAAAATCAGCGGGAGACAACTGTACTTTAGCGGCTTCTTTCCAGTTCCTGTTCTCCAGGTATATCCTGGAAGGGATGGCCGCAAAAGCGTAGGCTACTTTAAAGTTTGCGGGTTGTACGTTCGTAACGGATTGCAGGTAATCAAATTGTTCCCTGGCAAGTTTATTGTCCCCTTTTTGCAAGTAGGCATATACCAGGTAATCCATCCCGTGCAGTTCCTCGTCCCAGTGTCCCCTAATACCAGCCTGTTCGGCATAGCATTTTGCAGCATCCACGGATACCCTATTAGATTTGATGCATTCATCCCAGAGACCCATCCGCGTAAAAATATGCGATGGCATATGAAGTGCATGGGCAGAAGAAGGTGCTACCTGCGCATACCTTCGTGCCGCACCCAGTGCTGAATCTGCCAAGCCGGGATAGTCATAGGTGTGGATGATATAATGAATGATGCCCGGGTGGTTGGGACCGGAAGGGTAGAGGGCATTAAGTATAGCACCTGCTTTTTTTTGGTTGGCAAATGTTTTGTCAGCAGGATCGGCCGCTGCATCTAATGCCAACGCATAGAATATTGCCGCCTCTTTGTCTTCAGGATAAGCGGCATGTATTTTTTCCATTGCTTTCTCATAATTGATACAACGGGCATGGTGATCAATTTTATCCCAACCGGTATAAAATGCAGCCAGGGCGTTGATATAGGCGGTTTCCCGTTCTGTCTTTCCGGTAATGGATTGCGCAATGGCAATGGCTTTACCACCTTTTACCAGTTCTGCTCCTGTGGGTGGCGTCCACAATGCGTGAAAATTGCACATGGCTACGCCCCAATAGGCCATGGCGCAGGCGGGACTTGCATCAATGATTTTTGCAAACACTTTCTCCGATTCATCATACTCAAATGAATGTAATAAAGCGATGGCGAGATTGAAATCAGTTTTTGTTGGTTCACTGCCGGTGATGGCAAAATTGACCGAGCCAAACTGTTTATCCGTAGCGCCGCAGGAGATAACTGCCCCTCTTTTAAGGTTTACCTGGCTGATGGCTTCTTTTGACGGCATCTGTGGGCTGTTGCTGCAGCAAATCATCAAGGGAATTGTAAGTATAACGCAGTACCGTTTTGAAGCATTGAGCAGCTGGTGCATAACGTGATGGTTTGTTTGTAAGAAATAGACCAGAAAGAAACGCTGCCTGGTCCGGTACCTTTTCAGCCCTCTATTTTTTGGGCAGTATTGTCTAAAAAATCTGCGGTAGTAGGATCGCTATAGCCGTTGTCGCAACCCTGACAGTTCCAGTAAATGCCGTTTTTAATGCCTTCCATTTACTGTTATTGATACCTTACCGGCAGCATGTTCAGTTTTAACACTACCAGTAATGTAATCATTATTACAGTGCCTGTTGCTGCAATTATGTTGATGAAGTTTTCCGCTTTAGTGCTGTTACTGAAAATCTTTTCAATCAGCCTGCATACCAGCAACCCCGTTATGCCACCAACGGTATTGGTAATGATGTCTGTAAGGTCAAAAGCGCCAATTCTGAAAATAAACTGGATTGCTTCAAACAATATACTGGTGAAACAACAGAAAAAAAACTTTTTTCCAAAGCTCCGTGTTTTGAATAAAACCCCGGCATAAATACCAAGGGGGATAAAAATAATTATATTCGAAAGGGTTTCACCTTTGCCAATAAAACCTTTTGCGGTGATAATGCCTTTAAACGGAATTACATTTACGCGCCTGCTTTCCATATAGGAAAATTGAACGCCTAACTTAAATAATATAATCCAGGACAGTACTGCCAGGTAAATTATCAGTAAGGCAATGGTTAGCCTGTTATGCCCGTCTTTACTGCCGGTCATCTTTTTTTTATATATTTTATATTCTTTTCATTGTCATTATGAATTACGAAAAGTAAATTTCGGGTTGCACAATGAACATTATGGGTTGCAAATGACATTTTTATCTCTTTTTATCGTCATTATGAGTTGCGAAAAGCAGATTGCTGGTTTCACAATGAAAATAATGAGTTGCAAATGATATTTTTATCTCTTTTTATCGTCATTATGAGTTGCGAAAAGTAAATTTCTGGTTTCACAATGAAAATAAT